TGGTTCAAGACCATTACATCTTCATTATTCACGCATTAACTGACCATATTCCCCTCTACGATCTGTTCTTCTTGATTCTCAAATCAAGTTGTGACTATTAAAATCACCAACTATCAGTACCGGGCCGGATATTTGTGAGAATAAATTGTATAGGTGTCGAGATTCTAGTTGAAACGCATTTTGGATCTATGCATTACACAGGTGAAACTGCCAATTTGCAGCTACACGTCTAGGTCACTTGCAATGGAGCAGTCGATCGCAACATCACCACTGGCATTTGCATATACCATTCTGTTTTTATAAAAACATTGATAACCTTATATACCAAATTGGTGCTGATTTTTGAAATTGGTTCCCTAGATGCACAGTACGTCATAGTGCCATCTCTAAGAATCTTCTAAAGAAATTCATATCTAGGGTAAAAATCGTTCACATTCCATTGTAGAATTGTCATATACATGTTTGAAGTTCTTCGCTTGTTATTTTATCGTTGTCGGGCGATGCTTTTGAAGAAAGGCCCTATGTACCTTGCGAGAGGTGTGCCGTGGTCTTTGCCTTCAATTAAAATACCTTGCTCCTTCTCCGGGTACACGGCATTGAGAACCACTCTATTGTAACTTGGACGGCCGGTCGCTTTTCCTTCAATGGGCTGGCTCCTGTAGTCAGAGACCTGCCCTCGGATAGCCGCTTCGATATCAGCCATTTATTTCCTGTCCCCCATTCACAATGAGAAACAGGTATGTCGTAATCAGAACAGTTCAACATACTGCAGTAGACTGATCACATTACACTGTCACTTAAGCTTCTAGAGTTCGATGAAAACACAAAAACCAGTCGCAGACCGCGGCGCTAAACTGAGCGGAGCGCACGATGTTGCCTCAACCACTGCTGCCGAGCGAATGATATTCCAGGTGTTTTGTTTTAATTGCCCTGAGCAATTAATATGTTTTTTGTTCTGCGTCTCTTATGTAAGTTTTCCGTATTCCTGTACAGCCCTCTAATTCAGGAACAATCATTTCACATTTCGTTATATTCAATTTTAGAAATATATATTATAAACATCAGTTACATGAGTTTACTGCTACACCGTAATGTTTTCTACTATGATACTGGGCTGGCATGATTAGTTTTAGGGGTTAAAAAATAAATTTGTAAGAAACAATAACAATGTTCTCTAAAACACAAAGAGCGTAAAAATGCATTCTTAACGGGACTCAACCGGCTCCCCCCCCCCACACAATTTTTTGTACAGTCTTATGTGCGTTCTAACGGTGAAGCAAGGCCAATTTCGATATTCCGGGATTATTTTTACTCTATTTGTGTAATGTGACTGATCTGTAACTTCCAATCTCTGAGAGATTCTAAGAGATTAGAGCACAAGGCGATTTGACTGTGGTTGTTCGGACAACTGAATAAGAGTTGTTCTAGAACAACAATGTTTATTAATAAATTAAGTCTCTGGCATGCTTTTACATTTTCAAAAGTTGGCAATACCTGATAGAGGTTAGGCTGACTTCGGCGCCCGTACTTTTCCTTCCTTCGGGTGTGAATTTATTCCCCCCTTTTTTTAATGAGAGTGAATTTTCGTCAAAGTGTCAGTTTTTGTGTGCTAGAAATTTCACGTTTGGGTGAAGGCAGCCGCTGGAAGATACCTGGTTGCAGGGAAACCCTGCTAGCCGACGTTGGCACCAAAAATCTTCATGCAGCGAAGGTAAATCACCGTCACTCCACGCTCAATGGCATGCACTACACTTAACGGACTAATGACCTCGCCATTTGACGGGCCCGAAATCACTAACTAAAAATCAATCAATGAATACTTGAAAACTCTTATTAATCACCCACATGAATTACTTACGTGTTAGAAGTTTACATTTTTCAAGGTCTCTCTTATAATACTCCTCTTTCCTCCAAGAAGGACACTCGTCGAACTCTTTCATTACTCTTTCATGGTCGATTTTGTTCCCAGACATCTGTTCAATGAAAATTAATGCATGCATAATCAGGCAAAATGTAAGAACTATTGGAGAATATAATACGTTCAAAGAATACTTACAGATATATAGTGTGATATGAATAACAATAACACACTACAAAAGTAAAAATTACTTTCCAGTAAACAACTCTTTCACGATTGTCTGAGAGACATTAAAAAAGAGATACGATCATTCCTGAGAAAATCGATGAAATGTTTCGTGCATGTAAATTTAGCCAACAATGTTTATAGAAGTATTCTCGGTACCTTTTCGCAAAAGTGCTCAGATCAAAGTTTTGTTCTGCCGAACGCTTAGTGGGACATCATTCGACGTATCCGCAGTGAATGGCAAGTTGTGGGATGATTATAGTGTCATGAGTATATGTCCGACATGCAATTCGAAAATGTGTTTCGGTGAGATATAAGTAAATTCGATGAATCGTGATTTTCGTTGTATACATTTCGTTGAGTTTAATTAATTTCTATTTACTTGTGTGAAATCTGCTTCTATCATAAATTAAGTATAATTATTTTTCGTGAGTAATTTAATAATTTTGTTTCCTCAACATTTACGGCAGAATTCCTACCAGTTTTTGAGCTTCCAGTATGCTCTGATGCAAACACTGAAAAATAAATATATATTTGAATATGTGTTTTGGTGTGGAACAAGTACTTTTGTTGTATTGTGCTTTTTGTTGTGTATACTTAACTGAGTTGAATGAATTTGTATATACTCGTGAAAACCCTCCTTGCATCACAATTTAATTTGAGTTATTACTCATCAATAAAATAATTTTAAATTCTCAGTATTTGCGACAGTATTCCTACCTGTTTCTTGGCTTCCATAACGCAGTGCAGCAAACACTGAAAAATAAATTAAAAAATTATTAAAACAACTAAATACCTTCAATATAGTTCTAAATAATTGGTAGATTTGAAGCTACAACGTATCAAGTATTTATTATTTTTTTCGACAGAAAAGAGCGTTTTATTTGCATTAAGTATTGTTAGTACATACGTGAGATATGTAACAATCCCAATATTTATAATATTTGTCTATGTACAATATTCCTGATAGTATTTTATGATCAAGACCGTAGGAAATAGCCATAGTGCGTTTCAGTGAGACATCTTGCAACCGAGGGAAATGACCAGACCAACAGAAACTTTGATTGCAATGACATTGTACATTTCAAAACATTTCTTTCCTGACATGATTGACAACTTTCAAGTAGGTTATGAAAGTGTGGTTCACATACCAAAGGCAGGATTCGGTTCGAAACGTTCATAACTCTCGAAATCAAAATTATATTCATTTTCTGAAATATTTATTGGAATCTTTTTAACTTGTATAATGATTAAATTTGCATTGTGAAATTCAACACTTTCAAAGGTGCATCCAGCCAATGGTGTTAAACCTGTGGCACCTGACATATTCTCTGCATGTGTTTCTTACATGGGTGAAGAACATTACTCGTGTATAAACAGGAAAAATGCAGGAACTATTATTAACACAATTTATTTTTGGAAAGTAAAGTTTTGAGTATTAAAATTTATTTAAATATGAATTGCATAAATCAGTTCAGCTACAAAATATTGTAATTTTCGTGCTAATATTTTTGTCCGTAAATCCTCTATTGTTGCTATTTGCTTCGGTCAATATTCGAAGTTTATAGTAACAGAACTCTAAAAACAATGTTATCACAGAAATTTTAACATACACATTATAGTTCATTACTTAAAAAATGCTTTTACTCTTCAGGCCGAATCGTGAGTTTTGTAGCAAGAGAACACCAGTTTGACCGAGCGAAACGGACAAACGTTTTTAAATTCCAACTTTTACAAATAAAACTAGTGATCCTACTACAACACGCTTTTTATGGAGATTTTGTTAATAACTAACTAATATTACAATACTACAATTTCTGTCTTCCATTTTAGCTACCATTTAAAATGT